CAAGTTTCTAAAGGAATGGCTTAGAACAAGTAAGAAACAAGAACAGTAGTCCAGATGACCCAAATCGGTGCTTTACTTTTTCTATGGACAGTTTCAGTTTCCGCCACTTCTCAACAAGTAGAATAATCGAGTAGCCGATAATCAGATTATCACTGTCATCACGCAGCCATGATTCTTGAACACAAACAGAGCACTGGGGATTACTTTCACTGTCTACCATAATCAGCCAATTCCTTCCAACTTGATAAGAATTTAGCTGACAAATGAAGACGTCCCGCCGCTGACAAGCCTGAGTGTGTAACGAAGATCCCTGTAGCTTCGTCTGTCGATCGTTTTGAGCTTTATAACAAGTTTTTACACCAGTGAAACATACATCAACCTCACTCATCCATGAACACCAGATTCACTGCTTTACTCATCGACCAATCATTTTCATTTTAAAATCGAGGAAAAAATTATGGAGAGTCATAGACTGCTGAGTTTGAGAATTTGCAACCAATTTCCGACATCGACATAGCATGATTTCCCTAATTCTATGGATATCCATTAGTAGCCAAATCCGGATAAACGAAACAAAGTACATGAATTCGTCCACCTCAACATCAGCAGGTACGTCATGACAGCGCAACCAGTCGACTGACGTGTGGGACATGTTATTAGAGACAACACAATATGTTGCTTGGTGATAAACTATTACCTAACGTTTCTGTCAATCACGGTGGTATTCAAAGCGATCTATGGCCTGAAGAAGATAAGAAAAAAAGACAAACCAAAATGCGTCTTAAACAAGCTTAAAACAAGTACACATCTTGAAGAATAACTTGAAGAAACTTTTGAATTTTTTTGGTGTTTTGGCCAATTAAAGAGTAATTGCTGACTTCTGGTTTAAGTATCAGCCATGACATAGTCAGTGTAAAGGAGGATGTTTCCTAAAAAATTAAATAGTGGCACGACGGCTCATTAGCGCAACGTAAAGTAAATGGCTATAAAGGAGAAATTGCCGAAGGGTCAGGCTGCTTTTCACGGAATTTTCTTGTTGATATTTGCTCAAAACAATCTTCACATGACAAAAGGAGTGTAGTAACCTACGGTTAATCGATATGAACATTTAAATTTTACACATGCTGTCATTTCAAGCAATGCGCGTCAATCCAAGCTTTATCATTTATTAAGAAGAATTTTAAATTTATTTACCTTGTTCCTCACTTCAGCTGCATAATCGTTCAGGTTGGAATGAACAGGTATAACAACAGCTTGCCGCGGCGACAACCAAAATGGCCATTTTCCGCCAAAATTTTCGGTCAATACTGCCATCATTCGTTCAATAGAACCCAAAATAGCTCTGTGAATGATTATCGGTTGCTGCTTGGCCCCCATTTCGCTGAAATATCAAATTATCATTCTATAATCTATCGGTATCCACAATGAGTGCAAATAAAGTTGTCCTTATTAATGCTACATAATCACGAAATAACTACTTTTTCTTCTGCAAAATTTCAACTGAGCAACAAGTCAGGTTAAATAAGTCAAAAGTGTGCCGGACACTCAGAGTAAAATCTGAGGACTCAATTCTTTTATTCGTGAAAAGCAGATTACAAAACCACTTTATAAGAAATAATCACACGCCATGGTAGATGTTACATATCACTCTTGTTTCTTTCCCTCGAAAAGATAATCATTTCTCTCTTACTATCTCGGAAAGTGAAAATGAGAATGAAACGATGGACGTTTGTACTGATTGTAAGTACGACGCTATAAGTACTGTACGTACGACTTTGCAACACTGATTGGCTCCATTCCGACCTTCAAGGGAGATAGGTGAATATCACTATGCGCAGTGTGAGAAGGAAGAAGATAGCTAAACCCTGCAGAATGTGGCTATCACTTAGTCGTAGACACTGCTCTCAAAAATAGGAAAATACAGGCTAAAGAGGTCAGAATGCGCACCGGAAGTCCCTTGAAAGCGAGATATATCACTGAAGTAAATTATAAAACTGCAAGAGAGAACAATAAGAGGGTCTATAAACTTTTCAAAAAGCTGCAAAGGGTGTGATTAGTAATCGACAATCAATCTGCTTAGATAAATCTTCATCCATAAATCAAGATGTTCTAGAATTTTGTAAAAATCTATCGTAACATACACCCACTCTGATCAGCTATGAATAGTTCGTCGACGAACATGTAAATATGTATTGGTATAACCCAATAGTTCACGCGTTGGTACTACTCCCTATTACTCTAGTCAGGGTTCGGAGTTGCACATTAGTTTCATTACCATCTCTGACCATCAGTCACGCTTTCAGTCAGGGCACAAAATTTCATGTCTGCAAATCATTTCACTTCTGCCAATCCACATCTTCTCTTCACTGATAGCATCAGCATTTGCATAAAAATATCCATGTTATCTTAATGTTCCCGTTTTACAGGGTTGAACAAATGGTGCCTGCATATGGTCAGAATTTCATGACTGAAACTGTTCCCCAAATACCCTGTAATATGAGCACCATTACACAATTCATCTTGAACATTATTGTCTCCAGAACTGAACTGCAATTTCTAAAGTAAAGTGAAATGCATTTCGACCAGCCCATCCACTAGAAGCCTGTTTTGCTTCTGTTCTTCCATTTTACGCGATTGACGTGAAAATAGTTACTTGGCTGAGGCCTTAAATAAACGAAAATCAGTCTACCCGACCTGCCCAATATTCAGAATATGTAGTGCAACTCATTTTTATTCCCTATACAGAGTTTCAAGACGTTAAACTAAGAGAATGTGAAGATAGAAGTAATCTGAAAATCAGCCATAACTCAGAAACAACTAAACCTTCTCAGTTCCTAGTAGAACTTATTTAAGGATAAATGAAACCACAAAGATCTCATCCTGTTAGAGAGCGCAAATTCGTCTGGCATTAGCTGCACCACTTAATGACTCCATTATGCCATCGAACGAAAAGAGCAATCAGTCACGGATTTGAATAATAGCAGTCAAGAAAGTAACAGCTTTCTGTCGCCTTAAATTCGAAAATTTTCTGAAAGCCAGGATTAATGCCCTGAAATAAGAGATAAAAATTTTTTTCTTATGCACGGATCTGAAAAAGTGACTGCATTCTGAGGAAATCTGCCCGTAAATGCCTGCCAGTTACTCTTGATTGATCGTACAACATAAGCAATAGCAACCTCGACGTACTCACTCAATATAATGGAGATTAAAACGGATGGGTAGCTGAAAATCTAACTGGATCGTCGCGCACTGATGGTCTCGTTTCATTGCATCTGAAACCACAACATCAATTTTTGGCCCGTAAAATGCTCCATCGGCTGGATTCAGTGTCCAAGGTAAGCCAAACTCGTTCAATGCGTTGGTTAACTCGTTTTCTGCATTATTCCTGAAAAGAATAAATTATCATATAAAATATCAAGCTCCTCATGAGTTCGACTTCGACTTCGACACAAAGTTAACAAACAGTCTTGTCTGGCGAGATCTCGGCAGCTAAACTATAGACTAACATTTGCTTATATACGTGTCTATCACCGGTTGTAATATGAAAGTGTGCTGAACAGAAAAGTGAGGAAAGTGGTGGCATTATGGCGAACCAATATGACTTCATGCCATCATGTCATTTCTGCATTCAGACTCGAATTCGAAAAACACAGAAAAAGCAGAAAGGACATTACATTTACATGTTCTGAGAACAGAAGAAAGCCTCTTGAACCATTACCATGGCACATAATTTGGTAGTTTATGGGAAAGAAGCTCGTGGAAGAAAAATATCAGGGTTTCTCCAAAACGTGTGCAATAGAGTGAAAACGAAAACCTCAAACGCATATGGCGAAACAGAAGAATTCCTGCTGCAAGCACAAGTCGAAAAAGGTTAAACACTGCACCATTTTTGTTTTCAGTAGCGACAGACGCAATAACTGAAGATCTATGAAAAGCAGCTCCAAACTGCAAGCTCAATGCAAATGACGGTAGTGCTGAGACGTGAAACCAGTGAAGCATTCGAAACAAAAACTGAGGCAAGGAAAAGAGTAGTTGAGAAGAACGGCCTTCGGCTCCGCAAAGGGGTCGAATTACATGCCGGGGTATTTTAGTGAGGAGAATATGAAAAGATAACGAATGGTCAGGTGTCAATATGTCTTTTAAAACCCAAGAATTCAATCTCTGTTCCATCCTTCTAGACATCGAGAAAATCGACAATAAATTATGAAATCAGCCGAAAAAATGTGGTTGCAGTGTACTATGCGATAAGACGTTCATAAAATTAAGAGGTGCAGAAAACAAAAGTAAGATAGCTACTTCCGTAGAATAAAAAATTTGGCAACCCCGAAGAAACACAAGCGACAGATGAATGGTTCAATGGAAATGGCAATGCTTAGATGGAGGTATGGTGTCAGCAGAAAGGTCCACACCCGAAATATCTTCGTACGAGGCATTTTAGGTGCAGCACGCATTTCAAAAAAGCTTACTGACAAAAGGATCAATTGGTTCAGCATGTTAAATATGATATATCCGACGTGCACGTTGCTAATGTGGTCGAAGCACTGATTCTGACAGGGAAAAACTTAAAGGAAGACAAAAGAAAAGCTGGCCGATGTCGTAATGAACGATATGAAACTGCAAGGAGTGACTGAACGTTTGAACAAAGAAAAAAATGTAGAGGCAGTCAACTCAAACAACTGATTCCTGTTAAACGGAACACTAAAGTAAGAAGATAACCGTTGAGATTTCATCGCTGCAACTTTAAACAATTATAAATATTATATTATATGTTCATATAAATAAACATTTAACAAATTCGTTTTTATGCATAATCATAGCAAACCTGTGCTGGAACTACGACCTCAATAGTACGTATAACAATCCTAACTCAGTTATGGAACTTCATGAGAAAGCTGGTCCTAAATTCACAAATCGAAAGCATAAT